TAAACGTATTTGAATTTCTTTACTGAGCTTTTATTTACACAATTTTTTTAAACTGTATTACGCGTACTTGCTTCTACGAAACTGGTGCTATCAAACTAAATAAAATTGTGCATCAAAATTCTTCTCAATTTAAAGACTTCGATTTAACAAGCACATATTCAAAGAGCTTCATCTTACTAAACTGAAGAAATTATATTGAAAATGCAATGAGAATTCAAGGCAATTCATTGTGTTAAAGCGTGAAAAAGTGTTAAATCATTAAAAAAAAATCTGAAAGCTTTCAGATTTTACATTACGCCCAAAGGGGCTATTTTTAACGTTTTGTGGTTACCTTTATTTAATAAATATCACATTCTTCGCACTTAAACCATAAAATTCAATTCAACAGCAATATCGCAAAATAATTTCCAAATGAAACATATCTAGATTTTCCGACACACAGTCTTACGCGCTAGAGATAAAAAAATTTTTCATACAGTTTTGCCATTGTGATGCTTCTTTGGCGAAATGAAGCAACTCCAATGATGGAACACAGCAATAACTTTTATTTAACACTCAAAATGGCGACATACAAACAAGAAGAGAAAACATATTCTATCATTTAAAAATAAATTACATTCTTCGTGCGAGAGTCATAATTAAGACTGTAATACTTCTTTATCAATTTTAGCCCATTCTGCTTGCCTTTCAAACAATAGCAAATATAGACTGATATCTCCTTTGTCAGCGAATTCTGCCATAGGTGACGCAGCTCCGTTTTCGGCCGGATCTGTCCGGTATTTTGAGACTTTGTCTCTGCTTCAAGTCTTAATCCTCTCTAATTCATACTGTTCGTTTCCTTTTCCGCTCTTCTGCTTCTTCCTGTCTCCTACGTTCATCTTTTTCCTCCCTCTTTTTCCGTTCTTCTCTTTCCGTTCTTCTCTTTCCCTTTCCTCCCTCCCTTTTGTTCTTCTATTATTGTGTCTAAGACTCCTTTGACGAATACTTCATCATAATCTCTACTTTCAACAATTTTCTGTTTTAAATCGACTATTTTCAAATCTGCAGTCACATGAACTCCCAGTTCAGCCTGCGAGATTTTTGCAAATCTTCCTTACGAGCTCTTCCTAAGTAAGACATTGTTTCTATGTTTAAAATTAACGAACACTGTGTTCTTTCTACTTCCTCAAAATAGCTCAATTCAATTACTTTAAATAATTAATGGCAGTCAGGAATCACGAAATTAAATGCACTCTGTTAAATACGTATACCTCAAAAATGAAATATTTAATTATATGAAGTTCATTCTCTCTACCACATTAATTGTCACTAAAATAAGAATAACAACATAGAGCAATATATATATCTACGTCTGGACAACTCAAATGAATATTAACTATAATATCAAATACGGTAATAAATAAGACAATTTATTATTAACAGGGAAGTAATAATCTGGTATTATAATATTGCGTTCAGTGTGAACTAATAAAATAAGCAATTCTATATGAATAGGAAAGTAACAATTGGTATCACTAATATTATGTTCAGTTATGAACATAAAATAAAAATACGCACGATTATTCGATCTCCGTCGGTGCCTCCAAAATAATTAAGACGTGATGCTTCTTTGGCGAAATGAAGCAACTCCAATGATGGAACACAGCAATAACTTTATTTAACACTCAAAATGGCGACATACAAATAAGAATAGAAAACATATTCTATCATTTAAAAATAAATTACATTCTTCGTGCGAGAGTCGCACGAGGCACTCGAGTCGGGTTTCAAATATTGCCATTCACAAATACCTTAATGTTCATCTTTAAATTATTTAAACTACAAGATTTTAATATAATTTAAATCTGTTACACCATTGCTCGCTTTGAAATCATTGAGTTTGTTAATGAAAAATTCGTTAAAGTGTTACAAAATATGAAATCGATAATAAAACAAATTCCGAATCAGGGCTTCCAGATGCCCATATTTGGTGGAGGATTACGTTATTCAAAATTTGATAGCTCTAGGTACCGTTCCTTTATAACGATGCGAGAAATATACATACATTTATGGAGGTTCTTCATCATTTAATTTGATTAAATCTAACGCAGAACGATAATATTTGGTAGCAACAATTTGAAAAATGAAACGGACATTTAAAGGTTTCGACGCAAAATGCCAAAACGAAATTAATAGCCCTTCTGGGCTAACGCTCTTTGGGATAAAAAGAAAAATTGGAAGCAATCAGCACGTGCATTTTGTTAATCTTGCGCTCATTTGTTAAGCTTAGCATGTTTTACTATAGGAATCTGGTTATATGATATTTCTGAAGAAATGTGACATAAAAAAAAGGAAATGAAAGTAAAAAAAAAAAAAAAAAAAAAAAAAAAAAAAAAAAAAAAAACATTATTTTCACAGTCTCCATTCACAGCTCCGTAAACCTAAACCTTGTTCACTAATTAACTTTGGACACAATTAAAATCGGTTTCATCATGTAGAGACATGAGATATTTTTTGGAAGCCGGAGAGATGAAAAATTAACAACCGCCTTCGCCGGGAATCGAACCACGGACCTCTGGAATACCGGCCCAGCGTGCTACCATTACACCACGAAGGCACGCTAAGGAAGTGGGAGAAATACCTTGTAATCATAAAGCTAAAATATAAAATGATTCGGAAATTAAATCTCTCTCTTTTTCGTATTTTTATCGTTTCCTGCAACTTCTTTTAAAAATAATGTAAATTTGTCTTTCAGAATTAAAGAAAAATTTGGAAACAACACGAAACCTTTGTTAACAAATGCCCTGCAATTTCGTTTACAAATTTAGAGCTAACTCATTGGAGGAACACGAATATATAGAAAGAGCTACATATTTTTCAGATTAGCTGCATGACTGGGATATGGTAAAGTGTTTAAATGTGTCAATGTACACGAAAATGCTTGTTGTTATGTAGGTTACTTTACGTTATAAATCATATTTTAAAACATAGATATTCATCAGTTGGGATTATCAGCCAAACCTTCAATCGAACTGGTCCGTGTGGGAAGACCAGTTACTCATACGACAATGAGGAATAGCAAAATAGGATATTTTTTACTATATATTTTGCATTTTTTATTTAGCTAACGAACAATGACGAAAACAATAGCATTAGAAATATGCAATGCAGAGGACGTCGTACATATGAGAAAGGGGAGAACTCAACGATTTGCTATGCTTTTAATGCTTTTTCTTTTAAAAGGGTTTTTTTGTCGCTTTCCTTTCTTTTTCTCGTTGAAGGGACATCTGCAAGATAAAAAGTAGGTAAAGTAAAATATTAACTTCATTTTGCTATAATCCCTTAACATTCCATTTTAAGTTGGTTAGTTCTCGTTTTCTGTCACAAAAATAGTAACTGTCTGTAATAAATCGCTCTGCACTGCGTCATTTGAAAGTTAACCTATGTCACATGATTCTCGTTCATGACTTAGGTACTTACGTAACGGTTCCGATAATAATAACTTAAAATTTGGAACCAAAACTTAAAATTACCAATTGAGAAATCTGAACTGAAACTAAATCATCCTGAACTGAGTTTTCATCCTGAACACGTCGCAATCATTTTCTCACTTCAGGTCGCATTCATCTGCTTGCTTTCGCTGCTGTACACTCTTTAACCCACCAAAATTAATTTCTGTAAATATGTAGAAAAAACACAAATATGATCAAAAAGGGAGAGAAGATTGCGCCCTTTGTACTATGTAATTCAAGTTAAGAATTTGCTCTTAAAGGTTATTTTGTCCAGAAAATAAAATTGCTGAATGGATCATGACTGTGATTACTTTTTTTATTATGTACACGTCTTCAACGTCCAAATTATTTCATTTATTGATATATATGTTACGGTGAAACACCGAAATCTGGAGAATGTAGACTTTCACCGGTGAATGTCAACATTCACATAGTCGCTTGTCCGAAATATTTTCCAAATACTCTTATTTCTGACTTACACCGGTGAATGTCGACATTCAACATGTACTAATAGTGAATGTGGAACATATAAAAATATTATATTTCCTTCTCCGTAATTCATTCGCGAAAAAACGCACTTGAGACTCAGAATAAGAACTTAAAAACATAAGAACTTAAAACACACAGTACATTCAAATGAGAAAGGAAAATAATAGAAGTTATAAACTTACCAAATTATGTGCTTCAAATCTTATTTATTGCAACAACTTAAACTATTATGACACTTTGAATTGCACAAGAGGCCCTTGCTTTTACAACTGCATTTATTTCTGGAACACTTCCTTTTGGAATGGCAGCGTGTACATACAGTACTCCTCTCTTTTCGACCTACACCGGAGCATATCTGTGATTGTCGACATACACAGGTGAGGGTCCGAATGTACAAGAATGTAAAGAAATATTCGATCTTTCACCGACGTATTTGGTGAATGTTAACATTCTCCAGTGAAAGTTGACATTCTCCAATTTCGGTCTTTTACGGTAACATATATATGTAATCCACAATGAAAAACATTAGAAGGAATTATTAGCATAACTCTTTAGTGACATACCTCAAAGCTACTTTTCCTCATGGCAACCTTACAAATTCTATTTTCGGATTATACTACCTGTTGCTTTCTTCCTTTTTGCACTGAATACAACAACTTTATGCCTTAAATACCCGTCTACCAACAGCCAAGCAGCAAAGATCAGTTCAGATCAGTTCAGTTGGGAGGGGTTCGAATCCCAGGGAATGGGTTGGCTGCATGGGCGTTTTCGTTATTTCCCATGTGGAACGTGTATACGAGCTAGTTTCCCTTAGAAAGACCTCCACGACCCCTCCCTTAAGCTGGTAACTCGTGCTTTTCCGTAATAAAATAAATCAAACCAAACCTTAAATATCCACATATTTTATTAATAAAATACTAATTTACATTTTCTACATTATATCTTGCAGTATATGTAAATGTTTTGAGCACTCATGTTTATTTTCACTCACTTAATGAACGTTTCTATTTCACATTACAGTGCCAGAATACCAAGTAGTGCATCTAAGAAGCATATCAAAAAGGGAAGCCTCATCGGATGACGTTAAACAAATCCACATGGCAGCTTTTGGGAAGAAGTTGCAACTCAACTTGCGCAAAAACGCTGATTTCGAACACCGAATTCGCAGAATGAAAGTCCTTATGGCTGAAACAACAGGTCAAGGCCAACTCAAGTACCACGAGCCTCAGGTAAGTCAGTCGATCCTTGCCCCAAGAATTGCTTAAGCGTTTAAGTTTCGTTTCAGGAAATAAAAACAAATCATTCCACTTTTAAGTCTAAAAATTTCTACGTGTCATTTATCCTAGATCCTACAGTAAAATAATATTTTGCGAACATTTTTCCTATGCGAAATCAGTTAGTTATTTTTATAAATAAATAATAATATCAGTTAATATAAAATACAGTCGAACCTTCTTATCAGGAACTATCACCTAAAAATCTAGTGATCGCTAGTGAATCCCAGACTTATTTCTCATTGTAAATGATAAAAACATCAAAATATGTATTAATTATTATTATTCCTAAGGTTAAACAAAATCAGGTTAAAAATGAAGATCAAATACCTGATATCTATTTATACAGAGGCTATTCGCAGCCTAGATTTAGACGATTTTGGTAAGCGGTAATAAAAATTCGTTTGCTGCAAAAGAAGTAACTGCAATTGTACTATGTTTTTACAATATAAAATTATCGTCTGTGGCTTGAAAGTTTTGTTTTTAGTCAAAATGGCGAATTTAATAAAGCAGTGGGTCGAAGGCTACATTTACGCTCTTTCCGAAGAGAAATATGCATACTCCGTTATCCAAAAACAATGTGAGAGTCGTGGTTTTGTGATATCTAAAGCGTCGATAGGTAATATCATCAACAAGAAAGGACAAAAACGTCAAATTAGGGCTTAAAGTGGGACAAAAATTCCAAACAAGTATCCAAGGAAAATACGGACATCTTCGACTATTGCAAGGTACGTTGTTTAATGTTAAACGAAAATCCCCCTAGTCAAAGGACAGTTGCAAAATCATTAAAATGCTCGGTGTCCATTGTAAACAAAATGATAAACGTTGATTTAAATCTTAAGAAAGCGAACAAACGCAATGTGCATCGTCTTCTTCGAAAGCATATCGCTCAACGCAGGACACGCTGCAGAATTCGATATGAAAAACACTTATCCAAAGAAAAATGGAAAACAATTGTCACAATAGATGAAGCATGGGTTTATTTAAATGATTTTAACAAAAAAAAAGCCTTTATTATCATAAAAGGGGAGAAAAAAAATTTAAGCACATGGTTCAAAGAACCGAAAGAAAGTTTTTCTAAGGGATTCATGATTGTTCCTGGTTTTTCTTATAATGGCAAGTTAAAAATAAAGAGAGTGCAAAAAAAAATGTCAAGATTAACTCCAAACACTATCAGGAACATATTTTATCGCCAATTTTTCTGAATGAAATACCATCGCTTTACCCACAGTGCCATCCATCTGTGAGACTCCATCAGGACAAAGCTAGCAGTCACACATCAAAGTTCACTGTAAATTTCCTGAAAGAAATGGAACAAAAAACTGGTATCAAGGCCATCCCCTTCACTGATATCCCTACTAAATCTCCCGATGTGTCACCTATGGATTTTTGTGCTTTCGGACTTTTAAAAACTGCGTTATGCAAACGTTGTCCCAAAACCCTAACAGGACTCTGGAAAGCTGTTCGGGAAGAATGGGATAGAATATCTCTTCTGCCACTTCAAAAGGCATTATTATCCTGGAAATTGCGGTGTCCAAAAATAGTTCAGAATAAGGGATGTCAAATAGAACATTTAAAACACAAGAATTTTATGTAATTTAGTTTTGTGAATACAATATACATCGTCTAAAAATGTGTGAACAGCCTCTGTATATGTATAAACGTTCCCGATATATGTACCCCTAAGCGGTCTATTAGCTCAACCAGTCGAAATAAAATTTCAGATATTACTATCGGAAGTTATGCGCTCCAGATTATGGCGATTTAAAACAATACAGCTCTCACGATTACGGTTTCCGTGAAAAGATTTCGAAATTTTCGAAAGGTAACGCAAGGTAACTTTTTCCCTGCATAAATTGATTAGTGCATTAAATAACCATAAATAGCGTTGGTCAGATGCACGTACAACAAAAGTTGCCGGTCTAAAACTTTTGCAAAGAGCATTGTAAAAGGACCAGTGACAACGCAAGAGGCTAGGAGCGGTGGAACTTTTATTGGAATAAAGAGTTTTCAACCTGTACAATGTTTCAAGATAAAGTCATATCCCGTAACTTTGCGGTTTCGTGGCAATCGTTATCTCCCGACCTCACTCCGATATATTTCACGTTCTGGGGTTTCCTGAAATCTAAGGTGCAGACATTAAATCCAAGAGATTTGTCAGAATTGAAAGATGCCATGAAACGTTAAGTTATACAGAATCAGCCTGCGATGTTACGTTCGTCATTGCTGTCAACAATCTTCCACATGAAATACATTAACGTCTGAAAGGCGGGCAAGTTGAAAACTTGTAATTCCACTAAAAGTCCCCCCCCTCCTCTCTTGCATTGTCATTTGTCTTAAGATATTTTCTCCCTCCATTTTGCATGCCTTCGTTGTTCGTTCGAGTCCCGGCGAAGACAATGAACATTTTTAACATCTGCTGCTTGAAAAATACCTAATGACTCTACAGTACAGCCCGAACACGTTCCGATCACGTTCGGGTCACCAAATGGGGCAATGGTTTATGCCACCAGACTCCACACTTGTCAGAAGGAAGGTCGAGGATTTTTGCAAACATAAAATTAACTTTATTTAAAATTTGAAAGTAAAATACTAAACTAAATACATGGTGAAAGCCGATGTCAAATGTCGACCACGGACAAAGAGGAAGAGGAAAGTAATCTTTTGCTATGATTTAAATAGAACGCATGCAGTAGACATAAAAAATTACTACGAACTAAGCTTTAAAGATTGGCAAAATTTAACTTTGCTAATGGAAATGGTTTGAGTAAAAGGCTCGATGAATTTCTAGCTCGGAAAATTTCTAACAAGTTTTCTATTCAGCGTCAGCACCTTTCTTTCAGCATACTCTCTAGCTCAATTGTTACTGGTATAAGGTATTTCTCCCGCCTTCCTAGAGTGCCTTCATGGAGTAGTAGTCAGCACACTGAGCCGATATTTCAGAGGTCCATGGTTCGATTCTCGGCGAAAGCGGTTGCTAATTTTTCTTCTCTTCTGCTTTCAAAAATACCTAATATCTATACAGTGGAGCCTGAACTAAATGAGTTTTGGACGATGATTCTCCTCACCCAGGATTTGGCGATTGGGTCCCCTAAATACCCCAGTCGCCCTTTCAAAGGGGGTGTATATAAGGTATTTCTCCCACCTTCCTAGAGTGCCTTCGTGGTGTAGTAATCAGCACACTGTGCCGGTATTTCAGAGGTCCGTGGTTCTATTCCCGGCGAAGGCGGTTGCTAATTTTACATCTCTTCTGCTTACAAAAATACCTAATGTCTCTACATTGGTACAATGGACATATAGTACCATCCACTGAGAAAGCTAGAAAAGAAGAATCAAAGAATAAAAGAACTTTTGTCTTAATCAAATTTTTATCACGTTAAACCATCAATTTGTATACTTTCCTTGTGTCCATTTTTAGGAAAATATTACCTCTTCAGATTCTCGTTTTTTTTTTTTTTTTTTTTTTTTTTTTTTTGCTCATTTTAAACACAAAATTCAGCGCATTGAAGTTCATTGTTAAATGTTGCTCAAAATGGTTATTTATTCTTAGAAACATAATATTTGGAATTAGAAACATATTTTATTGATTCCGTTACTACTAACAATCGTTGTAAAATTTGTCAGTTGCATGCATTATAAATTACATGTATTATAATACATTTTTATAACTAGTGTAATTATAATCATAATAGTTAGAAATCTTACTAAAAGTTTCAGACTATTCTGTGCCAAGAGACCTAATATATGGCACTGCAAACATATTGTATTGTTACGTAACACAGTGTTGTAGATGTTCATATCAATTGTATATGTTGTAAATTAAATTAATTTAACTATCAACCGCGACGAGAGCTCTCAAGTTACCAAGGCATGTGGTCGATTACTGCTGTGGTACGTTGCATAACATAATGTAATATTAAACAAAAAAAATTTGAAAGACTGGACTATAGGTATTTCTATCATCAATATAATTAACATGAATAAAATCTATTATCGTTTTCATAACTTCTATAAGAGAGATGAGTAACGCATGGCGGTAAAAACATCTTAAATTAATTAATAATAATGTAGACATTAATAATGACATTAAGCAATACGTATAATAGTGTAGTTTTTTCCATGTGTAGTGTAATTTAGTTTAAAGTTATATATTAAAAATCATATGCTGTTTGTAATAAAAACATCTCGCAGAGCTGCTAAGTTGCGAGCATTATGGCAGCATACAGCAGTTTTTGGTACGGGACTTGGTAATTACCAGAGATCTGACATTTTATTAAACTTTATTATAATTAATTTATCTTTCAGTTTAAGGAAACAGAACTTTCTTAATAAATTGAACGTTTTTAAAACAATAAACACATTCCTTAAAATTTATATCTTTAATATTCGACAAAAAAAAAAACCTGAATTTGGTGTTGATTTTCATTAAAACTCTCTTTGAAATGAGACACAGATTTGCCATTTGCAAATATTTTTTGCAAAAATTCTTTTGCTGCTGAAGCAGAAGAACCCGTGTCTGGTATTTGTGGGATGTGTTTCTTTTCCATCTGAATTTATAGCTTCATTTAATTTTTTAAAATATTGCTTTCAGTTGATATAAAAATTTGTCTAACTGATAATTTTATGACCATATGCATCATTATTGTAATTATTAAACATGTTCCTAATGCCAAATATTACATATCTGGGTACAAAATAAGAGTTTGGTTGTTTTAAATAAAATGTCTCGTTGATATAATTTAAAATATATTTAATTTATAATGTATCCTACTAATAATTTTTATGAGGTTTACACCTTGTTGTAATGTATAAAAGATGTCCCCATGTTTTAACTATTACAATATACTGTCAAATATATTTATTTTGCCATTAACTTTATATAGCTTGTAAAAACCTTTAAACATCTCTTTGGCTTAGGCATACTTTTCTTTCTCGTAGCTTATGGATGAATGGAA